GGGGCGGGCCCCAGCCATTTAAATTTAAATGAAGCCGCGATTATTTTAATCGCGGCTTCATTTCCCTTTTCCGATCTGGCTAATCTACATGCCTCCGTCGACGGAGGCATGGAGTCTGGACACAGCCCAGGTGAGGGGCCAAGTGGGAACATCTGTCTGCAGGACCCCCGGAGAGCTGAAACCGTTCAGTGTGCCAGTCCCTGCAGGGACCCGGGTGCAGGTGACAGCTGGGAAGGGAGCCAGCTGGGATCCTAGCTGACCTGTGGCCAGGAGACTGCGGGGCTGGGGAGGGGGAGCACGCACAAGCCCTTCACTGCTCCAGTCTAAGCCTGTTCTCAAGCAGGGAGCGAGGCTCAGCTGCCACACGCTATCGGAGCTCATCCCTGGCAACACACACAGCCGACAGCTCAGGAATATAACTCAGCCAGCACAAAGGGTCATCCTCTGCAGCCACCCCGCTCGCCTGTCACAAGGATGCCTGCATCCTTTGCTGACGCACAGCCACCTCTGGGGTGGAGCACAGCAACGTTCTGCAGCAACGCTCCGGAGCGGGGGAGGCGGAGAATAACCTGAACCCAGGCGGGCGGGGCGCTGCAGTGGGGGCAGCTGTTGGGGCCTTAAGAGACTGAGCAAGCTGGAGAAATGCCCTCGCCCACCACACCTGGAACTTGTATTTCTGCCTGTAGAGTGGAGCCTCCTGCACCATGAGCCATCTCCCCTCGTGTTAGGTTTCAGCCCAACCTCATGGGCTGCCGGGGCTCAGCTTTGAGCCAGTACACGGGTGGGCGACCCCACAGCATGTACTGTAAGCCACCTCTGGAGAAGAGGCCTTAGTGATTTATCAACCACTGTCCCAGAGATACCGCTAAGCGCCTGACTACCTAGGATCACTGACGTCCTCCCAGCATCTCTCTCAGCAGTCCTGGGATGTGTCGCTGAGGTCCTAGTCCAGCTCTGGCCTATCTTACTGCCCCGGGCTCTTCCGGTGGGGATGCTCTTCTCTTCTTATCCCACACAGCACCTGGCACAATGGGATTCTGGTCCCTGACGCCACAGTACCAATAACAAATAACTGCTGGGACGTTCCCGTAGGGGGCGATGCTGCCATGGTGAGGGAAGTGAACACAAGAACGGCCATGCTGGCTCAGACCAATGGTCTGTCTATCCCAGAATCCTGTCATCTGATAGTGACCGGTGCCCGATGCCTCCGAGGGAATGAACTGACTAGGGGGTTATCAAGTGATTCTTCGCCTGTCGCCCAGCAGGCAGAGGCTTAGGGACGCCCAGAGCACAGGACTGTGTCCCTGAGCATCTTCGCTAGTAGCCAATGAGGGACCTTCCTGCCAGGAACTTACCAAATTTTCCACGTGTGGCCTTCACAACCTCCCCAGGCAGTGAGTTCCCCAGGTGGCCTGGGTGTTGAGTGAAGAAAAGCTTCCTTATGTTTGCTGTAAACCTCCTGGCTGTGAATTTCTTTGGGTTCTTGTGTTATGTAAAGGGGCAAATGGCACGTTTTTCTCCACACTAGCCCCCTGCACAGCTCCCCTTGACATCTCTCTTCTAGGCTGAACAAACCCAGTCTCTAATCTCCTCTCGTACGGGCACTGGTCCATGCCCTTCATCCTTTTGTTGCCCTTCTCTGTACCGTTTCCAATTCTAATATCTCCTTTTGAGGGGAGGTGACCAGAACAGCACAAAGTACTCATGGGGGAGGCGTACCATGGATTTATACAGTGGCAGGAGGCTATTTTCTGTCCTCTCTATCCCTTCCCTAAAGTTTTTTTCAGTGTCACTGCACATTAAGTGGATGTTTTCAGAGAACCAGCCACCATGACTCCAAGATCTCTTTCTAGAATGGTAGCTGCTAATTTAGACCCCGTCGCTGTATATGTCTGGTTGGGGTTATGTTACTTTGCATTTATTAACATTCACTTTCATCTGCTATTTGGTTACCCAGTTTTGGGAGATCCTTTTAATTCTTTGCTGTCAACTTAGACGTAATTATCTTGAGTAATTGTGTGTCATCTGCAAACGTGATCCTCTCATCAATGACCCCTTTTTCCAGATCATTTATGAATAGGCTGAATAGTATGGGCCCAAATACGGTTCCCCCCACTATTTACCTTTCTCCACTGTGAAAACTGACCCCTCGTTTCCTATTTTGTAACCAGTTATTGATCTATTTTATCCCATGACTCCTTAAGCGCCTTTGGGGAGGGACCTTAAAAAAGAACCTCTCTGGTCCAGCAACACCCATGGTCCAGCATGATTTTAGAGAGCCAGATGTCCACTTAGCATGGGTGTGGCCAAGTTTCCCACAGTCCTATAAAGTTTGTTACAGTCTCCAGTCCTGGCTCTCAGTGTTCTGTGCTGCTGTTTGGCTCAAATGTCTTCTAAGGGCCCAGCAAGCAGTGGCAGTGTTGGTGATGCTGCTAGACAGTATTGACCTCCCGTGGTCCAGCAAATTCTCAGATTCGGCACGGTCAGGTCCTGAGGGTGCTGGACTAGAGCAGTTCAACCTGTACACTAGCTCCATTCTGAATCACCCTTGTCTACATGTCGTTTGACCCCCTGAAAGAATTTCAGCAGATCAGGGCTGGGCAAGATGCAGCTCAAAGGCCGGATCCCGTCTGCCAAACATTTGGGTCTGGCCCATGGGCTGCATCTGGCCACTTCCTAGTGATATCCCGCTGCCTGTGCCACCGAATGCCCAGGCAATGGCTCAGGCAGCAGGATCCGATTTAAATGGCTCACGGCTCCTGGTCGCTTCTGGTAGGGGCTGGAGCTGCGAGCCATTTAAATAGCCACAGCAGCTCCGGGCGGCTGCCAGGCAACGTGATAGCGGTGGGGCAGAGAACCACGAGCCCTTTGCTGTGGTCTTGAATTCAAAGTCTCCAGCCCCAGACAATTCTAGTCCCTGGCCCTGCCCCTTCCACTCCAGGCCCCGCCCCTTCCAGGGGGTGAAGCTGGCCTGTGACCATGGACCAAAATTTCATTAAGTAGCCCTCCTGTGAAAATGATTGCCCACCCCTGCGATAGAATAGTAATAGTCCTATAGAGCTTGGGAAGAGCTTAAAAAGAGGTGCTATGGGAGGTAAGATAGCAATAGTGATTAATTATCTGTGCACAGAGGGTAGCTTTGATGTAAAGCTCTCTGAGATCTGTTGCTTTCTAAAGAAGTTCAGGATCCTTAGTTCCATTCTGCAGTGGGAGAAACTGAGGCACAGACCAGCTCAATCGATGGGCAAGTATTTATACAGCAGCAATCAAAGCAGTAACTGCAGAGCTCAAAGCATTTCCACCTTCCGCCTCTGATACCAATGCAGATGTCTGAATTGCAGAGCTAATGTGCCATCCTCATCCCCATCAGCAGTGAATGTAACCGAAGCACGATCCCTGGGAAGAACAGACACTTCCCACTGTCGGGCACATGGGGTGACATCGGGGCAGGATGGCCAAAACTGGGCAGCTGTCCTGTCCCAAACCCACGGGTCTCCTGACCTACTATGCAGGTGTCCAGCAGTTGCTGTATGGGCACAGGAAGTCGGGCTCGGGGCCCAATACACAACAAGAACCAAAGCATGTTTCTGAATGCAGCATACGTTGGCGTACACACGGGGTGTGCCGGGTGTGCCCAGGCACACCCTAATGTCTTGGGCTAGCTAGCCCGAGCCATTTTTGCACCCTGGGCCCCACCCAGCCTGGCAGCATGACACAGCGCCCCTGAGGCACCCAGGAACACCCCCGCCCAGCATGGCGCAGTGCCCTTGAGGTGCCTGGGAGCACCCCTGCCCAGTACGGCAGCACCGCGCAGCATGCCTGAGATGTCTGGGGCCGCCCCTGAGGAGCCTGGGAGAGCCCCCGCCCAGCACGGCGTGGCGCCCCTGAGGAGCCTGGGAGAGCCCCCACCCTGCCCGGCCCGGCAGCATGGTGTGGTGCCCCTGAGGCGCCCAGGAGTGCCCCCGCCAGCCCGGCAGCATGGTGCGGTGCCCCTGAGGTGCCCCAGGCTAGAGCCCAGCCAGCCTGTAGCTTGGGCTGGCTCTGGCTCCAGCCCCG